GATCATGCCGAATCAATAACATAACCGGATCGGCTGAAAAATCATTCGGCAAATTTTTACAGGTGTCCCAGGAATTACGATAATAGCTGTAATTTTTTTTAATTTGAGCTATGTTTCAGAATTCGGCTCTTGTCGGGGAATTGAAGAATCTCCACTTTTACATTAGAATGGGTGGATGGTTAAGAAAGTGATTTTCTGTATACTGTTATATTCTTTTGCTACAAAAAATTTTTTTAACTATAAACAATCTCAAAGAAAAAAAAAAAAGATAATTTATGCATCGCTTATTTGAGTTATCTACTTTTATCAAAATCAAATTCTAGCATGTTAATTCTGAGTCCCTGTCTAGCAAATGAAATCTTTTTTGGGTGCCTTTAAAGATGCAAGGAAAAAAACCCATCTTTTGTCCTCGCACCCAAAGTGTCTTAAAGAGATCAGTTCAAACAAATATCAGATATTTATACATGAATCTACACGTAAACTACATCACAACCAATCAGTGACATAATTACGCATTCGCTTCGCTCTGGACAATAAGTGATATATACAGTAATACCCAGAATTAGTAATATATACAAATTTTGCAATCGATTAGTTGTCAACTTTCAATTATTCGATTTTATTCTTTTTTTTTTCGATTTTTATTCGATTTTAATGGCAAAAATTTTTCAATCGATTAGTTGTCAACTAAATCAACTAATCGATTTTAATCGATTTTTCGATTTTCGATTTGTATCACTCACTACCTAGAATACTGTAATACTGTTACATAGTAAAAACAAAGATCTCGTTATCATTTTTTAATCAAATTGATTCTGATATTACCATTCTCCCCCACGCAAATTTCGAAAGTAGTGATTTAAGCCGGCTATGGCAGTCGCGGATAAGCCAGCCAATATAATGTGATCGGCTGGCTTAGCCAGCCGACTAAAACCTTACGGCTTAAATCACTAATCTCGGAATGATGATGACACGATCGAGTTTCACAACTTTTACCTCGGCAGTGCCGAGGTAAAAGTTGTGAAACTCGATCGTGTCACCATCATTCTGAGATGGTACTAAATAGATGGAATTTTAAGTTCAATAGTTTCAAATCGCTTGATTAAGCTTCGACCTTTCTATAATGTCTTTAATCGACGACTTCATAGAACAATCAAATGAGCCGTCTAATGTTTATTTGGAGACTGCAGGGTTTGAGCCAGCAGATCCGGTTCATATGGTGTTGTACTGACTTATTTCTTAAGCTTTATTAATTTATTCAACGCAATGCTGATTCTTATATATATGCTCGCTTAGTTAGAAACCGGGTTTGTTAGTACTGGTTTGGCTGAAGACGATTCGCGTGTTTTTACCTTAGATCGTGTTCAATTTCAACCTCCTTCGTCTATAGTCGAGATGTCTGTATCAAACGAAGTTCTCATAATGGCTTTGGAATCAAATCATATATTAAGAATTGACTTACAACAAGCACACAACGTTGAAGGTATTAATAATTGGATATAAGAATTATACTATCGAGGACCGATATAAAATTAATTGATTTGTCTTAAATATTATTTTACGTTTTTTCGTAATTTTAATGATACTTGAAGAAAATAAAAGTCTATAAACTTTTCGTGCTTCATTTTATACATAATGATGCTTGTTAGATATTGAAATGCAACGCAAATCCGGGGAAGTGAAGATTTATAAAATATTCTTTGATCCAACCGGCCGACATTTGCTTATTACTACCGAACAAGGAGAAAACTTTTATATATTTGAAAAATGGAAAAAAGCGAAAGTTCTTTCAAGGTTCAAGGTATTATTATTTTCTCTATCTCTTAGTCATATATTATCATATATTGATAAAAATTTAACAATATATTTATTTTGAGAAATTAGGGCATAATAATTGAATCCGTTGGGTGGAATAAAACCGTAGGAACTTCTGATATTTCAACCAAAAAGATTTTAATCGGAAGTCGCAACGGTTTAATTTACGAAGCTGAAATAGAATCAACTGATGAATACTTTAAAAGGGGAGAGAAATATTTCAAACAGGTTCTTTTATTAATGATACAGTTTAAATTATTTTTTTTTTTCAAATAATATATATGATTGAATATGTCAATAATATATAATCAATTACAGGTATACGCGTTAACCGACAATCAGCCTGTAACCGGTCTTCGAGTTGAAGAGTTTCCTGCCACTCCTCGAAAATATTTCATATTAGCTACAACACCTACAAGAATATACCAATTCATAGGCCAGGCAAACCCTAGTGCTGATATAGATGGTGGCTCTATGTTTGAGGGCCTATTTTCCAAATATAGTCTCAGTCCAGGTATTGTGATAGTTTATAATATACTTAATACATTCACTTTGCTTCATTATTATTATCATTATTATTATCATTATTATTGTTATTGTTATTATTATTATTATTATTATTATTATTATTATTATTATTATTATTATTATTATTATTATTATTA